ATTTTATTTCCTCTTGGGATATTCAGGGGGTTCAGATAACCTAATACACTTCTAAGGAGAGCTGTTTCAGTGACTGTTTTTTCATCTTTTATAATTATTATTCTGCCTCTTGTGCAGAAGAAGGATTATGCAATTTTATAAAAGGATTTTCAGACTTACTCCACATGTGAGTATTAAAGTGTACCTCTGTCCCAATATACCTAGAGACTCATACCCATTTAAACTTCTATTGGGTTTTTAAATCTTGTTTTTTGCCATAAATAAAATGCTAAATGTATATATTCTCATATAAATGCAGGCCCTTCTACAGCCAGCTGAAGTTTTCCTTTGGCTGTAACTGTTTCAGGATTTCAGCTCCCACATGTGTGGACTGCAGAAGCACATGTGACGTAATAATATGGATATTTTCTTAAGAATTTAGAAGTTATTATATGTTGTTATTTTTATATAATTATTTTCAGACATATTAATTATACCTAATAGAACAGTGCAAGGCAGTCTGAAACACCCCTTGAATCACTCAAGAACTGCCATCTGAAGACTGTGCAGCAAATTTACCCTTGGAATTTGGTGAAACCATACTGACCAGATGATAAGTTCATTTTCTTTGCTTTCTTTCTTTATCTCTCTTTATTTACCTTTATTTATCTCTCATGTGGTGATGACCTTTGAGGCTTTTTTCCTTTGGTTAAGGAAATAAGCTGAAGTATCAATGATTTTTCTACTTGTGGAAATTATAAGCTATGATATATTTTTTCAAGTAATGCGCTGGCCTAGCAAAGTAAAGAACATGATTAATGTGATACTTTTTAGATGCATCCTCCCTCACTTACATGATGACTGTGAAGTTCTTAAATCTATTAACTGAAAGATACTGTTTCCTGAACCTACAGTGTAGTAACAGGAGATGAATTCATTTATATCTTAAACAGCTTGAACTGCAGACTGCATATTCTTATAGTAAAAATCCCTAGAGTTCTTGAGTTTGACAAAAAAAGAGGACCTTTGATGAAAATGAAGAAAAGTATGGAGAAAATAATTGGCAAGTTGGACAACAAAAATGTTGACATGTTTTTCAACCAAAATAATAATCATAAAATCTTTAATCCGAATTTCAAGAACTTTCAGCTGGAATCTTTGCATTGAAATGCCACCCCAGTGCCACCCCAGTGCATCTTGGAAATTGGTCTTTGTAGGTTCTTGCTGCTTTGCTCACATAATGGGCTGGTGTTCCTGGCCGGATTACAAGCCCATGGGTGCCCCATGGGGCTGCTGGGACATTGCAATGGATTTTGGGAAGTCACCAGTCACAAGCAGTGTGAGGAAGTTTGCCCATACGGCAGGTTTGGCTAGTAGCCTGAGAGCAGTAGGTACGACACGTTTCAGCTTTAACTTCCAGCGAGGTGTTACAGCTACACTTCAGATGATTAAAATGTTTTCCTTTCAGTCAAAGGTTGAAGTCACTAACTTTGGTTAGGCCAAGAGCCTGAAGCCTTCAAGTTTTCAAAGGCTTTGCTGACTAGACTTTAAACTTTCCACAGAACGCAGCTGTCTTCTCGATTTAAAATGAGATGGAATCTGTTCACCTCACCAAATGTACCACTAGTGTATTTGATGATACCTGAGGAATTGTATAGCCCTGTTGTATTATTACATTTATCCTAACCATTTGACTCCTGACTATGTTCTTTCTACTTTGTTCTTGTGCTTTGCTATTTGTTTAGTCCACATGAAGAATTTTTCTAAGCTCTTTGAGAGCTTCTCTGAGTGATAGCCATAGAAAAGTCACCCTGCCAGAGAGTACCCTTTTCCACAAGCGGATCCCACTTTTTACATTCCTTTGAAGAACACCACCACCAATAACAACGGAAATAATAGATGCATCAAGTTATGCTGCTGTGAGACTTAGGATGAGAAAACTTCAGTGAGTACTAGAAACAAATGTAACGTTCCGCATATAATTCTCTGAAAGATTCTGTCATGGTATCACTTAATATACACATAGAAGTAGTACTGTCATCATATATTATGAGATACGGCTACACTCTCTGCAGTGTTTCAGCTCCTTTTTTCCCTGTCGTCTGTACAGCTAATATCAGATGACAACACTGAGATCCACCAATTTTTTGCTAATGCCCTGCTCAAAACTAGGGCCAGCATGTGACATCATGCTTTCTATCTCCCTCCTGTGCCTCTTGCTTACATTCTCTGTCTTGCTCCCTCTCAGATGCAAATACATATATCTTTATTTGCCTCTCATGCATATTTCTATACATTAACAGATATATACAGTCTTTTCTTTTTACAGAAATAATTCAGAACACTACCTTTAGTCATGTGAGATCATTTTTTGTACCTCTGAGAAAGCTATTTATAAGGGTCTTGATTTAGGAATGAAAGAAAGACTAAAGCAGTTCAGTAGAAATTATCTTCTTAATGGTAAAAACTGAATTATACATTAAAGTACCATTTATTCAATGAATTTTATTATTCTGTTTAAAAAGGCAGAGACTTTTATGTGTTTTGTATGCTTACAAAGGTTTATTAGCTTGATTAAAAGGTTATTATTATGCAATTGAATAATTGAATTTTAAATTATTGGTATTGCACTTCATATTATAACTGCTTTTCCAGATGCATTTGATTATGTCAAATTTGCCTTTTAATCCCCTGTCTAGAGACCATTTTCTTGAACCATGCACTGTTTCTCACCCTCCGTAGTGGTTTCCTAATGAACAAACACAGTCCAGTCTCACATCTTCCATGTAAATTACTGTGCATACCTCTTCTAGTCAGATCACATCGGAGGCTATCTGGTGTCATATAATCCTGGATACTGACATGTGGAAAATCTTTTCAGGTGATTAATGCCATAGGCATCTAATTTTCCTGCAAAGCACTATTGCAGGACTGCAGTGTTTACGTGAATGCCAGACTTAGGGATATGAAATGGACATTTAGAAAAGTTAATAATCTGTGCCTAATCCCCTCCAAGAATTATCTGTTGGTATTTCTATAAATAATTGCAGCTTTATTTCTTGTTGCTAATTGAATCACATAATAATTTATTAGATGTATTGTTCATTAAAAAAGTTGGAACTTTGTTATAAATCTCATTGCATGGGTGAAAAAAATACATGTAAAGCCACATATAAAATATCTTTGTATTTGAAACATATATTAAGTAAAAGAAGTCACAAAATAACTGTGCTTTGGTATTTGTTTACTTGCTTTGTTTGTTTGTTTGTTTGCTTAATGCTTGAGCAAATGTGCCCTTCAAAAAGGTTTCTTCTTTGCTAGAAACATAAGATTTGTCCTTGACTACACACTGGAAACTGCAGTTCCTGGGTGTAACACTGAAATGCTCAATTAAGATAACAAACAATACACTAAACAACTCAACATAATAAAATATCAGGGTAGGCAGCCCTGGAGTGGAATATTCTGTGAGCACCAGTTCTTCATTGCTACCGCACTGATAACATTAGTGTGGCCAAATGTGCAGCCTTTGCTTGCATGCACCTATGAATTACATAATTGTCTGCTGTTATCAGGCTGCTTCTACCTCTGCTGAAGAGTTTTTCCCTCAGCCAGGGGTTGTCCATTAACTTCACTATAAGCAGGATCAGCCTTCCATAATTTCAAGCAAATTATGTTTTAGAAAGTAATCATTGATTCTTGAGATTTGACATAGGATAGGAAGCACTTTAAAAGTGGCTTTGAATACTCTTAATTAGCTCAAGAATTACAGGCTCATTCCTCTTATGCTGCCATTACAAGCATTTATCTCAACTGATTTTAACAGAGTTGCTTCTGTTTTCCACTGCTGTGAGGGAACAAAAAAAACAGGTTTCATAAATTGTTAACAGCTCTTTCATACTGCCTCTTTATTACCAGATAAAACTTTGATGAAGGACATTCACAGAAGATCAATATGAGAAACCACATAAGACCTGACTTTTATGCTACTGGCTGATTCTGAAAAATCACAGAAATAAGTATTTGTTTTTGAAGCTCTTACTTAAGCCAATGATTGGTTTGATGCTGCTTTTCCTGAAAGAAATATTTCACCTTTAGGAGATGTACTGCCTCCTGAGTAAAGTTACTCAATGGTTCTGATTGCAGGGATTAGGGAAAGGGAGTGGAATGCAGTTGTTCATGTAGTAATGAGCAACTTCATTTGACAGCCTTCGTTTGAAGGAATAAGGACCCATGTTCGTTTCTCTGCTTCGTGTGGATGCTGCTGCCGACTGATGTGATGGACCACTGGCGGCATCCTAGGAGGCTCTGTGGGAAAGGCTGTGTGTCTCAGGAGGGGAATTAGGAGCTTAGGGGAAATCTGGGGTCTTCTTCTGAAGAACTGGGAAATGGCCTAACCGATGGTGATCTTCACCTGTAATTTATAGAGGCCAGTGTACAGCTGTGGGGAAAGAAACAAATGATATTGAACTGCTCAGTAATATACTGTCTGTGAGCTAATATAGCTCAGGATATATTCACAGCTGAAAGTAAATTAAACATTTTCCTTGAGATTCACTTTGATAGCAGTGTTTGTTTTTGTAGTGGTTTATCTGTGTATGAAGAAGTGAGCAGGATTTAAAGTGCAACTGCAATCACATGTAGTAAATCCAATTTATATTAATATTCCTTCAACCTAATAGCTGGCAAATACACATTTCTGCACTTCTAGCAGTCTGCCTTAATTTGTTTCTGTCAAACGATGAGCAAACATTTTATCACAAGTTTGTTGTTTGGTTTTTTTTTCCTAAGAAGCCCCAAGCACACCAACACTGAAGGTTACAGAGGTGGCTATTTTTAGAAATTTTACTCTTCACACACTTAATCAAGACCATCATACTTTACTTTCTTTCGTCCAACTGTTACTAAAGCCATCCATGTCTTCAAAATCCAAGCATTATGAAGTGGAAATGCCTGTGCAGGAAAGTGCTCTGATATGACTGAGTCTTGATGACAGGCTTAATCCCAAGCGCAGTGGAAACTCAGTTGTGCTCCTTTTTCTCCCTGAGGTAGTTGAAGAGGGCATCCAGCCCCCCCTCGACAACCTCAGGCAGGGGCCGAGACAAGGGGTTGTGGGCGATGTGGAGGCCTTTGTCCATTGGGTTCCATGCGATGCGTGGCAGACGGCGCAGCAGGTAGAGGTCATCCGGAAGAGTCTGTATAGCATTGTAATCAACATTTAATAGCTCCAGAGTGGTGATGAAGCAGAGAGATCGTGGCAGGGTGCGTATGTTGTTATTCTCTACGATAAAGATTTGGAGATTGACCAGATACTGGACACTCTCTGCGATGTTTTCAAGCCTGTTGGACCCCAGATGCAAGAAGTCTAAGCTCCTCAGTGCAAAAATGCAGAGGGGAATTTGCACAAAGCGGTTGTTACTGAGGTTCAATTTCCTCAAACTTGTCAGGTCGGTGAAACTCAAAGGCAGTTGCGAGATGCAGTTGTGAGAGAGGCTCAAAACCTCCAGCTTCCTGCACAAGCTGAGCTCTGCTGGCACTTCTGTCAGGCAATTCATATTGACGAACAAGACCTTCAGGTTCCTCAGCAGCCCAATCTCTTTAGGCAGACACTTGAGGCAGTTGCCTCCCAAGTTCAGAACCACCAGCCTGTCCAGTTTCCCCAGTGAAGGAGGAATCATCACCAGCCGGTTGCGTGAAAGGTTCAGTTTCTGCACCTCAGGCAGTCCCCACAAGAAGTCAGGTGCGCTGGTCATCCCTTTCATTATGAGGCTCAAGCTGACATAACGCAACCCCCGCTTCAGCAGCGACTTGGGCTCTTTCCCTGAGAGAAGAGCATCTTCCCACGCAGGCAACTTGGGACCTTTCCTCAGAAAAACCATGCTCCTTCGCCCCTCGTTCTTTGAGTGCTCAGTTCCCATAACACCCTGGATCCCTCCTAAGAGATGAAGTGAGGTTTTCTTCCCTTGCAAGTGCTACACCAACATGCAAATGCCAACAGAGGATAACAGCTTGCAGGAGGCAGGAAAGTCAAAGCAAGGAGACAAGGAGGAGCCTGCGAAGTGCATCTCAGTCCACTGAGGCAGTTTCCATAGCTGCTGAGGGAAAGTTTCACTTTTGGGGGCTTATGTTGGTCTTGGTGTACAGTCTGTAATGAAATACTTGCTCCTGACTTGTGAGCAAACCTCTTCAATTCAAACTGAGTGCTACAAGGCAGCTGTCACTGTCATTTGGCCTGGGCTTTATTGGACAGATATGTATCTTCACTGCAAAAAGGTCACAAGGGTGCTGTATATAACTTCACCATGTCAGCTTTCTTGGCTATCTGGTACATACCATGGCTGCAGGACAATTAACAAGAGTGACTTTAAAAAACAAACACGCGAGCTATAGAAGAAAACAAGCAAACAAAAAAGCTATCATTTCAATTCAGATTTAAAGGACATTTTCACAATCATTTTTATTTTGATGTTCCTCATTTCACTGAAATAGTTACTAGTCCATGAGAAAACTTCGCGTGCTGCAAAAATGCTGGTAAAGACTTTTCATGTGAGTCCTTGTTTTCTGTTTGGTTAAAAAAAAAAAGAAAAAAAAGAAAAAGTTAATGCTCGTAAAAAGTGTTAGCTTTTATATCCCCTTTGTGGTGAGGATAGGCCTCTTTCCTTTCAGAAAGGGTACCACCTTCACTGCAGCAGTGACATTTTCCAGTGGTATCTGTGTCCACTTGGATGATTGCTTGCTACCCACGTAGCCAAGTGTGAGCAGTCATACCCTGCAGTTCTGTCCAAATTACTCTGTCCTAAATGTCCTGTGCTACTTTCACATCTATCAGTGAGATTTTTGGGGACTGGATCTTTTGTGCTGCAGAAAATGTAGCCACTTGATGTCCCTTTCCCCATGAACTTTCCTGTCTTTCTGGGCTATTCTGGGGTACAGGGGGACTAGCAGTCAAATAGCTTGAACTATAAATGACATTTAACTCTGGGGTAGAGGGACTGATGGGAGAGGAAGGAAGCAGTGAGGTATAATAATACCCGACAACAGCTGAAGCTAGCTCTGCTGATGAAAGGAAATTGTATTGCTACAGGAATATGCAGCGAGTTTAAACTCAAAGGGACCCTAAAAAGGATACACAAAAATTTCAAGCAGGATTTAAACTAGGTGAAAATTGCAGCAAATAGTACAAGATTTTCAGGGCTTTTCCTCTCCAGTGGATCCATGGTGATGGAGATGCTTTGCTGCTGTCTGAGAGATTTGGTGATGGGTGTACCATCCCCACCACCTCATTTCAGAGAACCTCACCTTAAACCCCTGCATTAGCTCGGATGCTAAAGGACTATGCATGAAGCTGCAGCTGGGAGTCAGGACACTCCAGCAACCTCTTTGGAGTCAATCCCTGCAGTCCCTTCTTACTGCCAAGCACCGCTCAGTCTCTTTTCAGTTTTGGGTCCCTCATAGAGCTGCACCTGCTTGGGGAGAGAGGGGGCATCCCTGCAGTTGTGTCTGGTGAGCGGGGTCCTACAACAGGAGAAGAGCCAGGACCACAGTGAGAAGCACAAGATGGTGGCGAGATAAGCAAGTCACGCAATTAAAACATGTGCCTTAACAGGGTTGCATGGCATAAAAACAACTGGCCCTGAGGCTGAAATATTGCATTCCCTGGAGTGCCTGGATGAGCCTGAAAAGGGCTGAGGCCAGTTGTAGCTGTTTGGTTAGAGCGGGTTGGTAGCCTGATGGAGAGTCACACACCCCTCCCTTGCAAGCACTTTCCACCAATATTTGTCAGTTTAGAAACAAACATTACATTAAATCCCATTGCAGCCATAAGCTCTGACTCAGTGTTCTTGCTAACCGTCATCCAAATGCCCTGCCCAGAGTGGCAGAGATAACGCTGCTGCTGTAGGCATAGGAGCCACTCAGTGTGGGAGAGGAAACCCAACGGCAGGCCAAGCTCGGGCCAGATTTGGCTTTGTGTGACAGGAGGACCTAAGGCTAAAATGTGGCCCTTCAGCCCAGGCAGGTGGAGAAGCGAAAACGAGAACCTCTCGCAAGTCCTTACTCTGGGTTGTCTGCCCAGCTGCTGTTAAGAATGCACCTATTATCAGATAGCCTAAACGGATTTGAACAAGGCATTCCCTTCTGCAGCAGCAAACATGAAGGGAAGAAAAAACCCTTTTAGAGAGCATTTACAAAGTTAGGCATTTTCCTTCTTTTAATCACACTGCTGGAACGAGGAATCTGTTGCAGCTCTGCCCAGCGGCCCTCCCCGTGGCTGGCCTCGCACGCATGCCTACGTCCCCGTGTTCGCTTCAGAGCTCTTCTTTCTGGAGGTCACTTCTAGTAACAAACAAAAACAAAACACAAAGGAAGCACAGTCTCCCTGTAGCCACAGTCTCCCCCCTGGGCTGGCCAGATATTTTTGGATGAGAACATCGTCCCCCTCTCCAAAACGTGTTAGAGTTCACTGCCTGGGCTGGCCTCTCACCACAGAAATCCCCATTTCCTAACAGTGTGAGTCAGCCAAAGTGCTCTGTACCCTTCCCTGGTTTTGCATCACGCCACCAATTTGAAACTAAGCCTGTGATACAGCGCAGTACAGTCTGGAAAGCTTTACTGTCAGAAAGCTTCACCCAGGGCTCTTTATCAAACAAAAATGCTTGCTCTGCTTCAGTCTCGCAGCATCTCCTGCTATTGCACTGCTGTATCTCTACTGCCTGTCAGGCAGCAGCAGCAAAGGGGATTTAAAAAAGAAATTCCACATCTGCGGCTTCCATTGTCCAGTTCCCTTCCTGCTTCAGCGAGTACCGTAACTGCTGCAGGAAGAAAGAAAATAACCATTTCCTTTTCTTTGTTCTCCAACAGAAAAACAGGCTATTGAGCACGCTTGCAGTTATGGAGACGGAAACTCTGAGGTAACCAAATCAAATACCTTTCTTGAAATCGGGATAATAGAAGCATAGTGGCCTCATCTGGACACCTCGGGAACTAAATTTCTGAACAAAAATAGTCCTTTATCTGTTGGTGTCCTGGACTGGTTTTGTTCAAACACTTTTCAGTTCCATTTTCTCTGAGTTGCCTGCTGCCCTATCCTGCCCTATGCTGTGCTGAGAGGACGGAACAATTCCTTTGGGCCACTCTTAGGTAGACGGTCCAGTGAAACACTGACCTTTGTCGACAGGGCCTGGCAGAAAGCAGAAATGAATTTCATGTATGCAAGTTTGGCAGGGAAAAAAAACCCCAAACAAATCGGTGGGATTTACATGATGCAGTGTAGCTGATAATTGCTTTGTGGATTAAACAAAAATGTTAGTGTGCGGGGGAAATAATGACCCAAAACTTGCTGAAGAACTTTTTATGCTAACTAATATAATAAGAGAAACTGAACTGTTAGCAATGATAAAAAACTGGTACACTGACAAAAATGACAAGCTATATTTTTTGATGTTTTTTGACAATGCAAATGATTAGATGTCTTGTCTTTTTTTTTTTTTGAAAGAAGCAGGATTGTCAGCCCTGAAAAAAACTGTAAAATGCGTTCACAAAGACCTGGAATTTTAAAGTCTATTATCTATGGGCTCTTTTATTTGCCTGCAGGTTTGGAGTCTCTAGAAGGCACTTGGGAAACATTTTCAAGCTTTTCTCTGCAGCTGGGCAGGGGGGATGGAAAATTACATTGTTTTTAAATAGAAGTCGAGATCACCACATAATGACTTTTCCGTAGGATTTTAGCTTTTAGTGAAATACCCAATAGCATCATGCTTTTAATGAAGCCATAGCCATCTTAACCCACTGAATTTAATTTTTTTCTTGCAAAACCAAATTCTGTCATTGTCTTTTAAATCCATGAGCATACAATAGATACCTATAGTTTCATCAGCATATATCTATAGATTTGTAATTGATTTTGAAGCAAATTTCATTTTCTCTGTGGAGTCAAAATCTTACATAGTTCTCTGGCTCAGCTTTATTAAAAAATGTATCAATATAACAAGGAACCATTTAAATCTTTAAGCATAGCCTTCTCTAAAATGCTGGGAAGTTCAACCCATACCCTTTTGGAAGAAATTTTCATTTTCATTCATTATCTAGGTGCTATAATAACCACCTGGCTAAATGAGGATGCAGAAAATACCTAACCCCTCCTATGACAGGAAGGATGCTTTGGCTAAAAAGGGTTAACTTGTTTCAACTTCAGCAGAAAGCAACAGTCATGCTGGAGAAATGTTCACTACAAATACAACTGCAGCTACTGAACCATCTTCTCTTGTGCTGTTCCTTTCCTCTGAAGTAAATAAAAGGTTTTTAAAGTCGTCGGTGCCATGCAGACTGTCAAAGATATCCTCTGGTCTTAGTGCTAAGGAAGCAAATTCTGTAGGTTTTTAACTACTTTGTAGCGGTTTGTTGATCTTGCAGCTATTCTGAAATACTAAGTCAAATTTCAAAGGTAATTTGAGATTTATGAGATGTGACAAGAGACAGGAACAATTCTTAAGGCAATTTCACATTTCCTGTTAATTTGTTTTTAATTACAGTGCTGTTAACAGCTTTTAATGCCTGTGTGTCTCTGGAGCTTTTCTGGAATGTTTTATTAAGGTCCCATGTGGAGCTGCTGGATCGCCTGACCCATGAAGAATTGGACCTAGACGTGAATGACTGCCTGTGCAGGGGCTCATTTGACAAGAGTTTTGGCAAAGTTTTTCTGCAGACCTCTTGGCAGAAGACAAGCTCAAACTATCCATAGTATGGAAGAAAAAGAAAGAGGTTTGGTTTCATGTGTGCATGTAGACTAGAAATGACAGGCTCGATTCCTCCCCATGGCCAGTGGCCAGCAGCAACTCTCAAGTTACATGGAATTACAGGAAGTTTTATTTCTTTTACGCAAACTTGCAGTAGTATTTTGAAATTCCAGAAAATGCATAAATGATTGGTTGGTCAGCTCCTACTTCTGGACAATTTCCCTGTGTATACACAAGCCAAATAGCTGGTCTGTCTGGCTATATCAAATAGAGGCAACCCACGATCCTGCACTGTGGTATCACCTGTGTCCTCTGGGGCACTGGTTCATCCT